GCTGCCACGTGTGTCTGCACAAACACACACACACACACACACAGATTTTAACAAGAACATTTTTTTAAACAAATGTGAATTTCTCACGTTCCGATTTCTGGTTCTCACCTGGTGAGTTGAGGCTGTAGGAGGTCCAGGACTCCGGAAAGAACTCCTCTTTTCGACCCTTCCTCCTCCGTCACCGCCAGACTCCTGTCTCCCATGAGGAGATGGGCGGAGTCTGTCCAGCCACCTGCCCTCAGCAGCGCCTCCTGCAGTCTCCGTGCAGCTGCTCTGGAAGACGATGTCGTCCACGCCTGGTCCTGAACACACACAGACAAATCATGTCCTTGACTTTGTTTCCTGTTTATACTTTTTTGATACTGCTATTTTCTGCCCCCTTGTGGTCAAATTGACCACTGCAGCTTGCTGGGTCATCTTCTAATCATCCTGTGTTTCTCTAGGAGGGGGGTGGTTCATGTCCACTTGATGTTGACGTTTGTGTCTCACCTGGTAGTGCATCACACTGAACACACACACAGATGGCGCTAGAGTTAGCAACAGGTCCGTCCTCTGACTTTGACCCAGAGTTTCCAGCAGGACCTGCAGCACCGAGCACACCCGGACGGCTCGGCCTGGAACGCCGTGATAGGCCGCTGCAGGCAGCGAGCTGCTTTCGTCCTCGCAGAGCGGCAGAGACGCGCAGTCGGTCAGAGCACGGACCACGGACCTGTGAGCCGACCGCAGCTCCTCCTCACCGGCCGGTGCAGGGGAGAACAACCAATCAGGATCAGCGGTGAGAAAGAGTCTCTCCGTGTGACCCAGCAGAGAGAAGGTCTCTGTGTCTGAGGAGGCAGCCGTCAGCTTCTCCTGCAGCTGAGTCAGCACTGTGGTGACTGCAGGGGGCGCAGGGGAGGCAAGGGGCTTCTCGGGGGAGAAGTTGGAGCTCACGGAGCAAAACACACAGTTCCATTCTGGAGGAGAAAAAGATGGAGGGAGGGAGGGAAAAAATGTGAAAACTAATTATTTTATTTTTTTGTAAATTCAGGTAACTAATATCTGTCTGCTATTGTTTAAATTTCACAGTTAAATTTGATTAATTTCCCCAATTTCGTTGTGTTTTAACTGAACATAATGACAATAAGGACTATTCTATTCTATTCTAAATGTTTATTTTTATATTTTAAACTCCTCAGGGTCAAAGCTCAAAAGAATAGTTATTAACTGATTGACTGTAGCAAACAGCGAACTTCAGATAAAAAAAGTAAAAATTCAACATATTAAAATACAAACGTCACATATATTTGGCATATTATTAATTGTCTATTTCTGTGTTTAAAACACAAATTACACACGTTTACGTATGTTTTATACGTATACGTGTGTAATTTGGCTCCGTTTGAAAACACGTCCGTCTCTCGGACTTGAATTGAACGTAATTTCGTAAAATAAAACTTGGTATCTCAGTGTTTTTTTTTCATATATATATTTGTATATTAGTATAAATTATGACCGTGTTCTACGTGGTGTTCCAAACCGTGTCTATTCAACGTGAAGTATTAAAATATCGGGTTTCTTTCACTTAATTTTTATAAGAAAGAGTAAAAACTGACCTAGAATCCGCCGCTTGTTTCTTCAATAACCCATAACTGTTAATACACGATAAATACACAACAACTTCATCATTCAACGGTCCGTCCCATAAACATTGCCGACAACAACACTTTACAAATGGAAGGTTCCCTGAGTTAAAAGTTCCGCCTTTTATTTATTTTTTTCTTTACTAACGCCGCGCTTCCGGGATGTTGTTCATTAACTGACGCAATGCTAACCTGTAGCGTATGTCAACCACAACTTCGCGTGGATACGAACTAGTTTTAAAACATATTTCCGGTAATATGCTACACGTTTGGACAGAGCGGGAGAATCTATGAAATGAGAGAAACCGCGGAGAGGCGTTTGTGGCTGCTCGGTAACCTCCGTGGGTGCTCGGCAATCTTCGTGAGTGCTGCCACCCCCGAAGTAAACGGCGTCTATGGTTTGTGGTGATATTAGCAGCTGATTAAAAGCCAAAATACACATTGAAAAAAGAAGAAGAGAGATTTAAGTGATTTCCGCCTCTTGGTCGTAAATCTTCCTCCGAGGAACTGAGGTGTTTCCGACCTGTTTACACAGACACGACCACATTAGAGCTGAAAACACAGCTAAACCACTTTGATGGCTGCTCACGCTCACGCTCGGATTAACCCCGACATCCCACCGAACGAGTTTATTCAGGTTTCAAAGCAGGAGGTAAAAGGTTTGAAGTCGTCCCTGTGTATGGGTCGGAGCTGCTCTGATGTGGAAAACAAACACACACACACGATCTCATAGACTTATCGCGTGTTTAAATGCTAACTAAATGTTAAATAACTTTAAACTAAAAATGAACTGAACATAAACAAACATTACAATTCGATTAGAATTGGATGGTAACCACTAAGAAAAATATATATAATATTGGGCGATAGGGGGCGCCAAACATTAATTTCGCCTAATAGGGCGTTTACACCAAAAGCGATAGGTGCGATTTGAGCGGCAGCTCCACATATAGAACCAACGTAAATGGCGCAACACCACGCGGTTTAAATTCGGGTTTTTTTTTAAGTTAGCTTTTGGATGACGATTAGAGGATAATTAGTTTATTTATAAGCGAGCGATTCTTCGGGTTAACAATGACCCTGTGAATAAATTAGTTATCAGCACGTGAACACACACGTGTTTCACAAATTACCGTAAAAATTAACAGGTCATTTTTCAATGCGTGAAAAAAAAAAAATCAGTCAGCACCAGAAAGTGTGTGTACCACATAAACTGAAGTAAAAATATTATTGTAATCTCAACGTTGTTTGTAGGGCCCGGATACGGTCCGTTAAGCTTTTTAATCCGGCCGCTAAACTTAACAAATAACAAATAAAATAATTGAAACGCAGGCTTTATAAAATTAATTAATTAAAAGTGTCCCCACTAGATGGCGTAGAAAAAGCTAAAAGCATGTTAGCATTTTAGCTTTTACGCGTTACTTTTACATGCCATTTATTATATATATACAGTCCCCTCCAAAAGTATTGGAACGGCAAGGGCAATTCCTTTGTTTTTGTTGTATACTGAAGACATTTGGGTTTCAGATCAAAGGATGAATATGAGACAAAAGTTCAGAATTCCAGCTTTTATTTCATGGTATTGACATCCAGGTGTGTTAAACAACTCAGGACTGAGCCCCTTTTCTTTGAACCCACCCACATTTCAAGTGAGCAAAAGTATTGGAACAGACATTATTAACATAAATTAAAGTGAATAACATTTAATATTCGGTGGCGTAACCCTTACTTGCAATAACTGCATCGAGCCTGCGACCCATTGACTTCACCAGGCTGTTGCATTCTTCATTTGAAATGCTGTTCCAGGCCTTTACTGTGGCCTCTTTCAGTTCTTGTTTGGTTCTGGGGGCTTCTCCCTTCAGTCTCC